AATTTGTCTTGAGATGGCGAAAGTTGGATATTTTAGAAAAGTTTGACCGGGAGTGGACTTTTTGATATCGGATCCGGATTATGGTTCCGGTAATTGGAATAGCTTCGTTATGTCATTTGGGACTAGTGAGCAAAATTTAGGTTGATTCTGGATTGGTTTGCTATGTTTTGGCACGAGTTATGGAACTTGAAAAGTTCAAAGTTCATCAAGTCCGAATTGAGGTGTGATTTGTCGTTTCGATATTATTAGGTGTGATTTGAGGCCTCGAGTAGGTCTGTGTTATGTTATAGGACTTGTCTATATATTTGAACGGGGTCCCGACTGGCTCGGGTAAGTTTCGGACGAGGTTTGAATTATTTTCATTTCATGTTGAATTGCTAAGGCTATTGGTTCTGGTGTGACTGTACGTGCGGAGTTATGAGCGCAGGTGTAGAGCTGCAAAAGCGGTTTTGTCATCACAGAAGTGTGAAGGGGAGCTGGGCATAAGGATCGCAGGTGCGGGTGCTTGGGCGCACCTGCGCAACCGCAAATGTGGATCACTGAGCGCAGGAGCGTGGTCGAAGAAGCGGTAACGGATAGCAGAAATGGTGATGGCTAATCAAGGATTTCTTCGCAGAAGCAAAATTTGATCCGTAGGAATGGAGGTAGTAGATGCGACATTTTAGCCGCATATGCGAAAATGCTGGACATAAGCTATAAAATCGAGGTTTTGGTTCTTTCTTCATATTTTGAGATGTGGGACTCGGATTGAGGCAATTTTTGGAGCACTTTTTATCACAAGAATTAGTATAAATGTTCTACACTTGGTTTTGATTTTCTTTCATGAATCTATCTTATTTTTCGGATATTGGTTGATGAATTTTAAAGAGGAATTAGGGGTTTTAGCCTAAAGTTCATAAAGCGAATTTTTGAGTTTTGAACATCGATTTGGAGTTGGATTTGAGTGAAACTAATATGGTTGGACTCATAATGGAATATGTTATCGGATTTTATGTGTTTCAGTGGGTTCCAAGGTGTAGGCCCGGGTTTTGACTTTTTGGCCGATATTGGGCTTTTGATTAACATTCAACCTTTATCGATTGGGTTTGTTTCCTGTGGCATTATTTGACGTACTTGAGTTGTTTTTGGCTAGTTTTGAGCCGTCCGGAGGTCTCTAAGCGCGTGATGACATATTGGAGCATCGCTTGGCTTGCTTGGTATTGAAATTTGCTTGCTCGAGGTAAGTAACACTTCTAAACTTGGTGTTGAGGGTATGAAACCCCGAATTACGTGTTATGTGTTTGGTATTGAGGTGACGCACATGGTAGGTGACGGGTGTGTGGGTGTGCACTGTGTAAGTTATGACTCTGTTATTTCTGTGGTACTGTGTAGTTACCTAATCTTATCTGTTACCGTAAAATCTCTGGGTACTAAATTAATTGAGTTGTCAATCATGCTAGAGATCATATTTAGGCTATATGCTTGTACTGTTGGGACCCATAGTGGTCGTTTCTTACTGTTGACTTATTGATTTCATTGAAATTTCATACTCAGACATATTCATTCATTACATATCATATCTCAGTATCTATTGTTATTTATTAATACATCATATCATCATTTTGGGGCTAGTTTCGAGATATTGTGAGCCCGTGAAAGAGAGACTGGAGAGATTGATGACTGAATAAGGCCGAGGGCCCGATTATAAATGAATATTTATGGGATCCGGTTGCATGCCGCAGCGGGTTTTACTAATTTATGATAGCGCTTGGGCTGAAGGAGCCCCTCCGGAGTCTACACACACCCCTAGTGAGCGCAGTTAATTTTATATATATGTGTGTATGTGTGTATGTGTGTGTGTGTGCACTACAACGAGCCTTATGGCTATATAAATGTGGACCGGGTTGCATGTCGGAATGAGCCTTATGGCTATATATATATGTGGATCGGGTTGCATGTTGGAACGAGCCTTATGACTCTATATATGTGAATCGGATTGCATGCCACAACGAACCTACGTCTATATGTGGATCGGGTTGCACACCGTATCAGGTATTATATAGTGCTGAGTGATTGAGCGTGATAAGTATTGAGCGTAGTGAGAGAGAATGCGAGATAGTGAGATTGAGTACTCTGAGAGTGTGAGTACATGAGTTCATCACTGAGATGCATTGCATTTGACATGCATACTTGAGATACATGCAAAGAGATCAATTTCCTTCTGCTACCCAGTTTTGGTGACATTCATGAGTTTACCTGCATCTTGACATGTAGGCATAGAGTTGTACTTTACTCATGCTATCGAAAAATGAAACATCTTATTTATTGTTAAAAGGATTTTTGGGAAAATCACAGTTTTCCATCTTACTCATATTTTCTTGGCAATTTCGGTAAAAGATTTGGGTTTTCACTGAGATACTTGAAAAGCATGCCTATTTTATGGAACTGTGAATGAGTTGAGCATTCTATTTCTGAGATACTTCTTTTATTACTTACACTATGTTGTTATGAATTGTTGTTGTCTATTGGTGTCGGACCCGACCTTTATTACAGCTCGTCACTACTTTCAACCTAAGTTTAGGTTTGCTACTTATTATCACACCTCCTTTTTCCTGAGGGATAGGGAGTTTTTCCAATTAAAGTGATATTATTCGAAATGGGATTATTTATTTAATTTTAGAGTCGCCACTTGAAGTAATTTATGGTGTCTCAATTCACCGGTTTATTTTAAATCCCAAATCGAGGAAGTTTGACTCTGTTTTGAAGTCTGTAAAACCAGAAGACCGGGTAAAGAATTATGTTAACCCGGGAGAAGGTGTGAGGCACTCTCGAGTTCCGTGGTTTTAGCACGGTTGCTCAACTATTAATACTGGCCTAATTATTTGATGTATTACATATTTAAAACTTATTCTGCATTTTTAACTTTCTAACCACTTTTAATAGAGTTTTTATTGCTTTTACGATTTATGGAATCTATTTAAATAAGTCGCGATGTTGCACACTTATTGTTATTGTACACATTGCGAATCGCGTCACGTGAAACGCATCCGTAATTTATAATATGTTTATTTTATTATTATTTTGAAGTTGACGTCGAGTCACGTGAAATGCACACTCGAATTGGGGGAGGGGGTTATGTATCATGACTATGCCACGGGAATCGTACCAATAGTCACGATAATTTATTTAATCGCGCCTAAAGCAAGCTACAAATATTTATAACTTGTTTAATTTCCTAAATTTAAGGTTGTTGTGAGGTTATGGAAATAAATTTTTGGATGAAATATACGATTTATTAAATCAAAAGTTTGTTTCAACTCAACACTCTACGGCCAAAATATTAAAAATAGATATCAACTTCACTCATGAATCAATTGCATATAATGAGCGAACGAGACGAACCCAATAAACAACTCCAAAGACATATGATCATATAAAAAAAAGAATAGAGCCAAACAAAATAAATTCTATAGAAAGGACTAAATCATTAATGCTTCTGATTTAACAAAGAGATCCAACATTTAAACAACTTAAGAAATTAATATTTCGGCTTATCCCACAAATGTTGGCAGAATTAGATTTGGCCAAGCAATTCAAATAGTGACTAGAGCTGCAAAACATGATCTCACACACGACTAATCTCAGAACATAATTAGCTCTATAATTACTAACTAGCATGCTGAAACCAACACCTAGTGTACTCACGCAAATACATGGGGATAAATTGATTAAATTATCGTAATTTTTATCGTACAGATCATATTTAGCCACAAATGTTCACAGATCTCAATTCAAAATCCAAGCATGTCCATTCTTACGACTAATATCATGAATGATGGAAATTTGAACCTTAACAGGAAAGGCTAAAGGACAGAAACTTTGGTGACAAAGTATGATAAGAAATTGATGAGGAAAAGTGAATTGCCCCTTTATTCTAGTTTGCAACATTTGACTTCAAGAATTTAACCTCTCGAATTCTTATACCAAAAGCAACAGTAATGGCCAGATTCAATTCAAACAGTAATAAAATATCGAAACAGGATTTTCAACATGACTGGATTCAAATGCATTTTAAACATCAAGCAAATAAGCAAAGAACAACATATGCAATCTTCAGAAATCCATGTATTTAATGCAGGTTCATTTAAATTGAACAACTCCAATATTCAGCCATGAAAAGCAAAACCAAATAAAATTATACAATGGACTTAGATGCGTACCTAGTTGACAATAATCAAAAGAAAATCAGAAAAATAAATCCCTGAACACCAGGGGTATCAACAGCTAATCTGGAGCTCAGCCATGAAGTGAATCAGCAGCACACGACAACAATTTGAGAATTTAATCACTCTTAAAAGCCAGAGTAGTGGTGGCAAATGGGCGGGTTGGGTCGGATTTGGGCGGGTTAAAAACGGGTTGGACAAAAACGGGTTCGATTGCAACCGGTCCATATTAATATGGGTAAAATACGGGTTGGGTAAAATATGAGTTGGGTAAAAAATGGGCATGATCCATTCATCCATTTTGTGTTATGCAGTTTTTAATAGATCGATCCTGTGAGATTGAGAAACTGCTCTAAAAACTGATTTTAGAATTAAACTGACCTTAATTAACCTGTTATCAGAATATTTTCTATATTTTCTCAGTGACAAGAATATTTGAAAATTATTCAATGACCATAAGTTGTCTATCTTTTTTATTTTGACATGGCCAACTTGATATTACAATAGTTTGGTATAGATTCCAAACTTCGTCAAGGAAAGAGCCTGTATATTTTCGTTAATGAAGTATATTACTCCTAAATATTATCATACGAAGTTACTTCTTTCTTCTTCTTTTTTTGTCCTTTTTCAAACTTAAGCAACTGACAATAACAGAGATACTAACATAAATGAAATACTGCCAGGAAATAAGCCAACCTAACTGCTATTTTTTCAAACTCTACAATAACAGAGATAGTGCCATAAACTCGTCGAACTAATGCTTCAAAATGACATAAATAAACCACAAACACTGAAGTATCAAGATACGACTGAAGACTAGATAGCAAATGCAATTTTCCCAAGCATGGCAACAAAATCTGAAACATCCTTCAACAATTGTCTCTGCTTAGTCCAGAGTCCATACAAGGGTAAGTTCCTTACATAAGCCAGTCATAACTATTTCTACACAACTTTACCTATCAATGTGAACTAAGTTTATCAAGATGCAGCTGCAGGTGTACCGCAATTTCATCCTCATCAGTGTCTGATTAAATACAATCTTACAAAAACAAACAAGAAAAGGTAAAATTAATTTATTGGAGCACTATTACAAAAGAACAGAACAAAAGAATAGTATAAATAAAATGATTTACCTTCTTGTTCGCAAAGCCAATCTCTAGTACACAACTTTGCCTCTGCATTTGCAGGCAAAATAGAGCTTTGAAACTTTCCAATAATACGACCTCCAATGCTAAAGGTAGACTCTGAGGCAACAGTGGTAACTCAAGACATTTCATGCCATCAATGAGAGTTCTGGAAACCTTAGTCTATTTTCCTTCCAAAAGGCAAGCACATCCAAATCTGGATTTGCTTTACGATCAAGATTAGGCTCCTCCATGTACAAATCTAATTGTGTTTTACCTCTACCAGACTCTTGGTTCTCAAACACATCAAACTCCTCAAGCTTATCCCTTGCTTCATTGGTACATCTATCATAAGCATGCTCCTCCATTAAGGAAATTGAGATCGAAGGTACCAAGTATTCTTTGAACAACAATTGCAAATGATCTTCAACAATTTTTACCTTCGCATCAGTAGTCGCAGGATCAATTTTGGAGAAGCAAAATTTCACAAACTTCATTTTATATCGAGGATCAAGGACAATGGCAAGTGATAAGATCTTACTGTAAGACCTCCAATATTTTTTGAACTTCCTTAACATTAATGTAGCCATCTCATTCATAACTAGGTCACTACTATTTCTTTCTTCCTCTAACAGCATTTGAATTTTCCATACATTAGGTAGATACAAATTGGCAGTTGGATATTTGCTTCCGGAAAACAATGTAGTGATATCATAAAATGGCTTCAAAAACTTAGCAATCGTCTCTACCCTTTTCCATTCCTCCTCAGAAAGAGCATATTTAAAATCAGTATCAACTAACTT